ACTCAGTAGCGGCAACCCGTCCCTTTCATTTTCCGCACACTCTTCTCCGTCACCTATTTATGCGCTGCCTTACGCTTCTTCGGGGCTCCGTCGCCACTTGAATTATTCAAGAGTGCTTCAATTGTCTCCAAGCGAGTCGTAAGCGAGGATATATTTGGTAACGGGCCCGGAGGCAGGTTATTGGTAATGTGTTTGATGATGTCTCGATACAGGTCTTTTGTGGTGAAGTTTCTTTGCCAGGCACTGACGGTTTGTAGTTGCAACTCCAATTTCTGAACATTTGTCTCGGCTTCTTTTGAAACACGCTGCAGGCCACTGTCGAGGGATGATAGCCTCTCACACCATGAAGTGACTAGTTTGCACTGCTCGCCAATTTTTTGGTCCAGCTTGTCCACAGACGTGGAAACACTATCCTTCAGAACGCCCACATCCCGACGTAAGGCTGACACCTCAGCAAGGGACTGGCCAGCTTTAGCAGTTGCGCTCTCTCTCGCAATTCTTTCCTTGTCGATAAAAGACCCCAGGTCGTGTGCCACCTTTGTTAGCTTCTGCTGCATCATACCTTTCAACTCCTGGCTAAGAGAGGCAGATAGTGGTTGAACTTTCTGGCAAAATATTTCCTCGATTTCTGTCTTATGCGTGCTCGCCAGTTTCGCTGGGAATCGTTGCCCGCCGTCGTTCGTTTGTGCCGGTAATGTCAGTCTCAGGGCATCTTGAATAGCTTTGACTGCCTGCGATGTCGACATTTGCTCTTTTGAGTTGACGTGGGCCATTTCCATGCACGAGTCCAGCCGTTTATGCAGGCCGGCAATGGATTGTGGTGCCCCCTCAACGGACTCGCATTGCAGACTGAGCTTCATAATGTGCATCTCATCCGCGACATTTTCCAGACGTCGCCTGGTTCTCATGCCCGCCTCAGCGTCTTCGGGGCTTGAACCCCAGTTCTCTAGACCTTTTGGATTTTCAAATGCCGAAACAACAGTATCAAACCGTCCCAATTCCCCAGACAATGCTTGCGAGGTTATCATGTTGGTTGCGAGATCATCCATCTTCTTCGAAAGCTGATTCAGCTTGCTTTCGAGTTCGGTCAACTTGCCATCCGACCGCAAACTCGCACTCTTATCTTCTAGAGTTTCTTCTGTAAAGCTGGGTAGCCTCTTATCCAAACTGCCAAGCCTTTGCTCCAGCTCCTCTATATGCTTCTGAAGCCTGGCGCTTTTCTGTCTTTCCTCTTCAAGGCCAATTTTGAGTCCTTCTGTTTCTTTTCGGAGCTGTAACTGATTGTCGTTGACGATCTGAGTGAATGCCTCTTCCAGACAGGCACTAAATTTCGCGTCCAAAGCCTTTTGGAGAGCGTTTAGACGGGCATCAACGTCCTCGCTCCGTATGGCATTGCCATGCTTTGACGGCCGCTCTCGATTCCGCCTGTCTATAAATGCGGCCAAATGATTGATCAGTTTTCCGTCAGTGCCGCTGAGTCGATTGCAACTCTTCGTCTTCTCCTTTTCCCACTGATCGATCTGAAGCTTGAGGACCTCTCTGTGGTTTGGGCTTTCAGGGTATCGACAGCGTTCAAGCTCGGCTCGCATCTTTTTCAGATTTTTGTCTTGCTTATCTCGCTGCATGTACCAGTACATTCTGTCGCAGAGCAGCTCAACCAAGTGCTTGATGTCTGAGTCCCTCTGGAAGAGACTTGAGGGCACGGGATGATGCTGCATACTGGAAGACAGACCTTTATGATGTTAATAGGATTATTGGTGGTAGCATGGTAGACATTAAGTGACACACCATGTTCAGTAGGCCTTGCGTTGTTGCGGAACGAAGACATGGTCTCGTGGTCGTGATTGGGCTCGTCTGTTGCTGATGTCAACGTCTCTTCTCGTGGCCTGTCGCAATAGTCGCGATCTCGTCTGTCACGCTCGTAGGAACTATATAGAGCTAAATATTGATTCCGAGGTCTAGATGGGCTGTTTCCAGAGCGACGAAAGTTGCCTGGCCGTCGTCGACACCTGCGCACCATTTTGCTCCTGCTTCAACAGCTGGCCAGTCGTCACGTGGCTTTGGCGGCTGACAAGGTTGCGGCAGAGCAAACAAAGATTTGTGATGCAGATAAACGAGCTTCGAGTGCCGTGCTTTTCTTTACTGATGGCACGTAAATACTTCTTCTTTTCCTTCTGGGTGTTGGAAATACGGTGGCTCTTAGGTAGGCAGAGTCGCGGTATGATGTGGCAACGCAATATGTTCTTGTATTGGGGCATAACCTTAGAAGCATGTGACATGGAAACAGCAATATCAATCACTGAAAGTGCCTTGTAGGTTCCAATATGGCAGTGAATATGTACAGGTGCCGACAGGTGCAAACGCTGTTTTCATGGTTTGCATTTTAAGGGAGTGGAAGTCTAGTCAGCTGCTCAGCACTCAAGTGTGATGGACATGAAAGTAAGCCTAGCTAACCAAATCATCCCCCTTTGCGGGCGTCCTTTGCGGGGCGTTTTTAAATGCTATGCAGTTGACTTGGGACGTGTTATACAGAGCTGGTTTTGCGCATTTGGCACTGTAGTGCTGCGTGAAGTAGAGCGAATCAGGTGGCAGAAATCAGGGAACATTGAACCCGTTTGGGCGGAAACCGAGTCGCGAAACTTTTTATGGGTCGCGCTTACATGACTGGTCCAAAGCGATCCCAAGCGGTCCAAAGCTCTGCATAAGCGCAACCGCCAGCTGCAGGCTCGAGGCTGTCGCAGGCAATTTTCCGAGGGTGAAAGCTTGACTGTTGGTTTTTGACACTCTCGACCTCGTGCAATCTCCCTCCGCCAACATCAGCCAATTCGAAAGAACCACCATAACCATGGCTGCCGTAAGTCATGCCACAACTCCGCCGCCAAATCGCAACAGCTAGAAACTAACTGTTTTTGTCTGCAGCCATTAGTGACCGTCTCTGAGTCCAAGGACCTTCGGGGCCTCAACCTCATCGCTGCTCACTCGCACATTCGCGGCCTGGGCGTCGATGCCACCAGTCTCGAGCCCAGAGCCGCGTCGCAAGGCCTCGTTGGCCAAGAAAAGGCCCGAAAGGCTGCTGCTGTGATTTTGCAAATGATCAAGGATGGCAAGATTGCCGGCCGTGCGGTTCTGATTGCCGGCCCTCCCAGGTAGGAACGCCATGAACGGGAAGACGAGGCAACGTGTGCAAGGGAAAACTTTTTTTTTTCTGGGGTGCTGACACCGTCTCAACCTTGTAGCACCGGAAAGACGGCCATTGCCATGGGAATGGCGCAGTCCCTCGGCCCCGATGTTCCCTTTACTTCGCTCGCTTCGTCCGAAATCTTCTCCCTCGAAATGTCCAAGACCGAGGCCCTCACGCAAGCCTTTAGAAAGTCCATCGGTGTCCGCATCAAGGAGGAGAGCGAAATTATGGAGGGAGAGGTTGTCGAGATTCAGGTTGATCGCAGCGTCACCGGAAGCACCAAACAGGGCAAGCTCACCATCAAGACAACCGACATGGAGGCTGTTTACGACATGGGCAGCAAGATGATTGATGCCATGACCAAGGAGCGCGTCATGGCCGGCGACATCATCTCCATTGACAAGTCTTCGGGCAAGATTACGAAACTGGGCCGGTCGTACGCGCGTTCCCGCGACTACGATGCCATGGGCGTCGACACCAAGTTTTTGCAGTGTCCCGATGGCGAACTGCAGAAGCGCAAGGAAGTCGTGCACACCGTTACCCTCCACGAGATTGACGTCATCAACTCGAGGACGCAGGGCTTCCTTGCCCTCTTCTCTGGCGACACTGGCGAGATACGAAGCGAGATTCGAGACCAGATCAACACAAAGGTTGGCGAGTGGAAGGAGGAGGGCAAGGCTGAAATCGTCCCCGGTGTCCTGTTCATTGACGAGGTGCACATGCTTGACATTGAATGCTTCTCATACATCAACCGCGCTCTCGAGGACGACCTGGCCCCCATTGTCATCATGGCCAGCAACCGCGGCAACTCCCGCATCCGGGGCACCGACTACCGCAGCCCCCACGGCCTGCCCATCGACTTCCTCGACCGAGTCGTCATCATCAACACCCACCCTTATGCCTCGGAGGAGATCAAGCAAATTCTGTCCATCCGCGCGCAAGAGGAGGAAATCGACGTTTCACCCGACGCCCTGGCCCTGCTCACCAAGATTGGCCACGAAGCCGGCCTCCGATACGCCAGCAACCTCATCAGCACATCACAGCTTGTTTCTGCCAAGCGACGCGCCAAGCAAGTCAGCGTTGAGGACGTCCAGCGCAGCTTCCAGCTATTCTACGACCCCGCACGTAGCGTCAAGTTTGTGACCGACTCTGAGAAGCGTCTGATTGGCAACGATGGCGCCGTGGACTTGTCGGTGACGAATGGCTCAGCTGCCGCCACGGAGAAGATGGATCTTAGTTAGGATAATAGGAGAGCGAGATGAATTTTGGTTTTTTTTTCTTGGCAGATGAAGGCTGGATGGCGTTCTAGGGGCGAAAACTTGATGCCGAGCAAGTTGGGCTTACGTTACGCTGTGTTTTGTGTGTTGTGCGTTGTGTATTGTAAGATTTGGCACGGAAGGCCTGAATAGACCCGATCAGATCACGAATATTAAATAAATCCCGGTTTCTTTTTTTTCTAATTCCATCCTTCTTTCCCCGCGGTGCTTGGGACCGGATGTCACAGAAGAATGTTAATATGGATGAGGCAGCAGGCACAAAGACTTGAAAGTTTTACCGTGGCAAGCCAGCCTAACGCGTCAATAGTACGCATTTTATTTTGTCTGCACCATAATGCCAATCCCCCCCCCAATAGCATAATTCAATGGCCCTGTGTCCAGTCAAATAATTCCCCAAGCAAAGTTCCATCCAGCAATAGCCGTCTCCATCCCAAAAGCACAGCAACATGACACTCAAGCCTCGTAGTCACTGATACCGAATCCTAGACAGTTAGTCAATGCCCGCAGCACACAGCTACACACCTCGAGACATTCACCTTCTTTCACTCGGCGTCCTTCTTGACACGCTTGGTCTCAGGTTCGCCCTGGTCATCATCATAGTACTGCTCCTCCTTGACGGTGATTTCGTCGTCAGCGTCGTCGAACTCGGCAGGCTTAGTCTTGGGAGCGCGGGTCTTGCGCTTCGGCGTGGCCTTGGTGGGAGTGACCGGGACGCTACCGGTCTTGGCGGTCTTCTCAGGCGAGTCCTGGGTGCGGCGGAGTTTCTGGATGTGCTGGCTGGTGGGGGTGTTAGTGGTGATGAATCAAGTTTCGGGGGGGAGGTTGGAAGACCAAGGCAGCGAAGATTGGGAAGATGGGAGGAAGCGTACTTGACGCCGCCAAAGGTGGTGCTGAAACCCTGGGATTGCATGTGCTCGGCGACTTTGACGAGGAAATCCTTGTTGGGCCTGGCCACCTCGATCATGGCGCGGAGCAGGCCGAGGTGGGAATTCTCGTCCCATTTGTGGGTGACTGGGGGGCGGGACATGATGAGAGTTGAAAGAGGCGAAGGTAAAGTTGCGTCCGAGGCACGAGATGAAGAAATATGTGTGTGGTTGAAGATGGTTACAGGGCGGAGATGGATAGTGACGTGTAGAGGAAGGGGACTGGCAGACGGAGAGGAAGAGAAAGTGAACGGTTATATAGGCGCAAGGGTGAGTGATGGAAGGAAAGTGAGCAGAAACTCGGCCCAATGTGAGCGTAGAGCTCACCACCACGCCAATACAAACATAAAGAATATGAAAAAAGAAGGAAATTCACCGAAGAGCACTCTCTGTAAAAGTATACCCGCGAGCACGCAGCTCGTTCATAATCTTGGTCATTTGCTCATTCGTCAAGTTGACTTGGCTGAACACAGCCAGGAGGATATCCTCATGGACTTGCTGGTCCCATTTCATTATCTGACGGGGCATTTTGATGTGAAGCAGATGAGAAACCAGGTGGAATGTAAACGAAGAATAAAGATGAGGGGGTTGCAAAAGACGGATATTGTGAAAGAGGAAGAACGGGCGTGGTACGGGATAATAAGTGGCTGAGAGGTGAGAGGAGTGCAGCTGTGATGAGAGGTGAGAGGGGGTTGTAAAAGGCAGAGATTGTGAAGGGGGAAAGCCGGGCCTGGTACGGGAATTACATATGGCTGAGAGGTGGGAGGAGTGCAGCTGTGATGAGAGGTGAGAGGGGGTTGTAAAAGGCAGAGATTGTGAAGGGGGAAAGCCGGGCCTGGTACGGGAATTACATATGGCTGAGAGGTGGGAGGAGTGCAGCTGTGATGAGAGGTGAGAGGGGTTTGTAAAAGGGAAAAACTGTGAGAGGAAGAGCCGGCAGAGCATGGGGATGATATAGTCTACACCAGAATATATTTGTCCACCAAGAAGTATACACTGATATATTATCATGTAAAGCGTGATAGCCAGGTACTTGACCTGGTTAAATACCTAGGTATTTTTTTCCTCCTATTATATAAGTTTGAGTGGCGAGAGGAAGATGAGCGGCGTGCGTTAAGAATAGACAAGTGCAGCGTGAGCGTGGGCTAGTCATGGCTTTTATAGGGAATAAGTGCAGCTGCGATGAGAAGTAGATGAAATTGCAGGTCTCACCGAATGCCCTCCCAGGTGACTTCGTGCTTTCGGGCCCTCATGCGGGCCGCGACATCTTTGCGAATCTCGGCGTTCATGGCATTAGCTTCGGTTCCGGCCTCGTAAAAGGCAACTACAAGGTCGTGGAGGAAGTTTGGGTCGTTCCAGTGGCCGTTGGGCGCCATCGTGTCGTAGCAAAGGGTTGTGATGAGCTGAGGCGCGGCAGATGGTGCGTTCAAGGGGCAAAGTTCGAGGAAGGCGTTGAAGACGAGTGTGAAACTGGTAAATTTTGGCCTTTTTGTTGATGTTGAAGACGCGGGAGGAGTCTGGTTGGAGGCGGATGGACAGTTGTTATTAAAACAGCGTTGCAGGTGACGGCAAACAGTGACGGTTAACAACCAGTCCTGTCAGCTGCCATCCAATTCAAAAATGGTACACTCTCCTCGATAACCTACCCAGCACACACCGACCCGCCGCCCCGAAAATTATTATACACTGCTGTTTTGTACATGCGTGCCGTAAAGTAATAATGTCGCAACATAAAGCCCAATGATAAAAATGACAGACCATGGTCCCATCAGCCTCCCGTCATAATCCCGTTGCCTTGAAACCAATGACGTGAAGCATCAAATATCTATGTGTGTATATACGTCATGCCTCCCCATAGCTAAAACTTTGACAGTCGTTAGTGCGAGTGTGCCTACGGTACAAGACAGGGGGACGTACTCTTCTGGATAATCAGATCCCGCGGCGCCGTTGTGTGCTGCCAGTGCCAACACGGCTTCATCGTCGAGCGGCTGTTCCTGTTCCAGCTCCTGCGTATCTAGCCTTTGGCGCTTGACGGGGGGTTCCTCTGTTCCGTCTACATCAGCGTCGCCGTCCTGTTCTCCCGGCGCCCCGTCTGCAGCGTCTGTCGTTTCCGTCGCAGCCGCAGCCGCCAATGCTTCTGCTGGTGGCGCAGTGGATTCTGGTGTTGTTTCAGCGACGGACTCTGACTTGGTAGGTTGTGGCGGCGGTGATGGTGGTTGTTGCTGCTGTTGCTGTTGCTGTTGGGCTGCCTGCTGGTCTGCGGTATTCCCCTCTTGCGTTGTCCCGGGTGTAGGAATTGTGCTGGGAGCATGAACAGCAGCAACAGAAGCAGCTGGAGTGGGAGCAGAAGCAGAAGCAGGACTGATTGCTCCGTCGACGGGCGACTCGGCTTCGGCGCCAGCAGCAGGTAGCTTCCTCGGACGGCCTCTGCCCGGACCTGGTCGTCGAGTGATGGGGTTCAAGGTTGGGTCAACACGACGAGCCATCTCTGGTGCAGTGCTCTTTGCCTCGGCCTTGTTTTGAGACCTGCGGAGGCCTTGAAAGTGTTGACTATGGGATGATGTCAGTAAGGAACGGCAAATCATCAGTCCATCAGTACGCGCAGCGCATCGGGACATTTACACAGCCGGGCATGGCCTCACTCGAGGGGGCTCTTCGGTGTCGCGACCAGGCAGAGTAGCATTGGCTGCACTGGGAACCAATTGCAGTCGCATGACACCAGCTCAGAATAAAGCGAGGCGAACCATTGACATATAAAGCAGCTTGACAGCGACGGCGAGGCGCATCAGACATACCGACATCCCTCATTGGTGAAGCCGTAGCCCAAGGTTCGCATGTGGTTGCCAATGGTGGTCCATTCCGCTCCGCTGATGACACCAATGTTCTTGACGGACAAGATGGTAAAGAACAAGTCCTTGTCTGCACGGTCATTCCAATTCTTGGGGTTCATGGTGCCTCCAAAACGGCCCAATGGGGTGGGCCAGCGTGGTCGCGAGAGATTGTCTACGAGATGTTCAAGCGGTACAAGTCGCGAGCGTGGTTCTGCACCGAGCCGCGGATAGACCGTGTTAGGAGGCGGGCTGGATTGGTGCGAGAAATTGATAGTGAGATAGTGCTCGAGGGAATCTGGAGGAGGCGATTGGGGGGAATCGAGGAGGCGCTGAGGGCCCGTGGCCCCCGCGGGAGCAGGAGCCGAGGCCGGCACGCGGACCAAAGATGTTCCGGCTGCAGTCGAGCCATGTTGGCTCATGGTGTACTGTCCAACTGTCGCTGCGACAGCAAGAGGAAGCTGGAGAAAATGTAAATAAAAATAACTCGTCATGACGAATGTACAAGTTGTTTGCCAAATTCATTCTCGGAGCAATTTCACCAATACACACCGGACATGTAGCGGTACATGTAGCCTGTGCTGAGGCCGATGCTTGGACTTAGCCGGAGTTGAAACGGCGTTTAGCCGTGCTAGGTCTCGACCGTACTCCGTAGCTGAGGTGCAGGTTGAGAACTTCAGCGGCATGGAGCATTGCAGCTCGACGACAGTTCATCCTCGTCCAAGCACGGATTAAGCATCGCCAAATACACACCAGTATATGCATAACACATCAAGTCTAATCTACAGTCTATCGCGGCAATATCCTCGTGATTAACCTCAAATATCTATTCCATTTGTGCAAGAGCACAAGATAACTTGCAGGCCTACAATCGTATCTTGCCACCCTATACCGGCCGCACACCTAGAGACTTCACTTCATCCCCATGCAGCCACTCAGCCCAGCAATAATTCCATCCACCTTGGGGAGTAGGCAGCTGACAAATGCACCTCTTCACCCACCATCCGACGTCAAGGGCTTCAGGTGGCGGTGAAATGCGGCAGAATGTCTGTCCACCCCCAACGATTAGTCAGCAACCTGCCACCCAGTCGGACAAGAAGAAGTGCGAGTGCGAGGCGGGACAAGCCACCTTGTGTCAGGTACGTACCTTGCACGTGAGTTCGCTCCTTGGACGTGGAAAGTGGCCCAGAGTTCCCGCAAAAAGTTCGCGCCCCCGTCGCGTCTCCCAAGCACTTCACCCCATCCCCTCCAAGACGTTGGCCGAGGATACGGCTGAGGCGCGACCATGAAGACCACAATAATGACTCCCAATGGTTTCAAAATGTCCTCTTTATACAGGAACAAATTTTCCGCGTCTTTCAAGCGTTTCTGGAGGCGAAAATACAACTCGTCACTCGTCTTCCACCATGGTGATGATTTGCTGCCTCTGCCCCTCTTTTGGGATGACGCCGTCGCTGCCTCAGCCGACCAGACACCATCGGTGTCATGGGCGTGTGCTAGGGCCCTCTGCGCTCCAGCTCTGACGCATCCCTTGAGAAAATGAGGCCATGGGTTCTGGGGGGAGATGCAAAAAAAAAAAAGGTTTCACAAGCCGTCTCCATTGAGTTGGGACACTGTGGCAGACACTCTTGGGAACTGTTTTCCATCTACCGGACTACACTCTACCCCGGCCAATTCTCTCGGGCCAGGAACCGAATAAGTGGCTAATTGTTCTCATATAAAAATCAGAGAGATAGCAACATAGTAGTATATATGCTGACACAGAAGAACGGCTTGTCAATCGAGGTAGGACTTGTGGTAGCTTTTGGCTGCGCATCATGGATGGGTCTGCCGGGGCTGACGGAATGAACTGCAAGGTTCCAAGGCCACCGCAGCACACCCCCCTCGGCTATTCTTTTCTTTTTTGCTTTCTTTGGATTGAAAGATGAGTCACACTGGTTTCAGTCCATGCCAGAAAAGTCATCCCCTGTCGATGGGATTGCATGTGGCAGTTATATCGAGACGTCACGACGTTCAACTGGCCTTGCGACGACGACGGACCTGAACTGTGCGACGGCGCTAATTGGCACGGGGCATGCTGCCTGTTGCTGCAGTAGCAAGGGCGACGACGACGAATAGAGGGGGGCCATGCCTAAATATGCGGGCAATGGCGCAGTCATGCAGTGCGACAGACGGTATGTTGATTGCAGTTTTGATTTACACCAGTTGACAACCAAGAGCGTATGTACGGAGTAACTCGATGCAATCCGGCGATGTTTTGTTCACCTGTCGGTTCAAATGGTAGTGGAGCCTTGGCCGCTGCTGCAAGCACTTTACGCACTTTACGCGCTGTGCAGACCCTGACTCTGACTGGCTGCCACCATTGGGCGCTGTAAAGTTGCCACTGTGCCTCATGCTTCAGTGTTTGCCGGCCTGCCTCGCGTCCCCACCTGAGCACCGTCCATCCAACATCCTTGCCCACGTTCGACTCCATCATCCCAAATCCCAACATCCGGCATCCAGCATGCATCCCCATTCCCCCAATGGCTGCGGCACCAGGCAACCGTGCGCTTGGGAACCTCATCTCAGACTAATCATTCAAACGCCGGATGCCAATTCGAGCCCAGACGCCCACCAGCGGCGCCGTGGCCCGGCGTCGGTTCCTGGATTCTTGCATCCAGACATCCAGACTTCCATACACCCCCCTCCCCCCCCGTCAATGCCATTCCCATGGCCCCTTCATCAGATATGATGTTGATGCCTTTTTAAACGCAAACTCTTCCCCAAGGCCAGATTTCCTAACTCTTCCTCCGACCACATCATCATTCGTACCAACATTCGTCACCTTTTGACCTTGGTCTTGCGCAAGGCATGCCGCCGGAATTACTCGTATAGCAAAGACCTTCTCTGAACCCTCAAGACTTTGGTATCGGATCGCTGTCTCGGCTGGTGACCATCTTTCGACACAACTCGCCGAACTGGTTTTGTAGTAGCGCCGATACATGTTCAACCTTGACTCATCAGGACCACTATTCACTTTTTGGTCTTCTTGTCTCAACCAATCTTGGACTCGCGCGTCTCTTTTGCAAGCCGTCGCTGCGTCCCCAAGTTGCCTGGTGTCGTCTCGCAGCGGGCTATATCTACGGGTCCTGTTTCCGCCCGTCATTCATCTGCTGTTCGCCTGGCTGCTTCTCGTCAGCTCAAGACGTCTTCAGTATAACCAACCGCTTCACATCCTTACCAACAACATCAAACTCGCCAAAATGTCCCCCAACAGTGATAATGCTATGGCTCGATTCCTTTTTGCCATTTTGAAGCAGAAGAATCTCAAGGATGTTAGTCTTTGCTCCAAACAACCCGTGTCCTGTGTGTGTGTGTGATGGATTGCACTAACAGCCATTCAAGATTGACTGGAACCAAGTCGCCCAGGATCCTGTTCTGCTGCAGCCCATTACGAACGGACATGCAGCTAGAATGAGGTACTCTCGCTTCCGAGCCACCGTCACTGGTCATGAACCCCAGAAGCGTGGCCGCCATGGTGAAAAGGATCGAGTGTCCAAGCCTTCCAAAAAGGACCACGCGTCAAAGAAGGACGCCATTATCAAGTCAGAATCTGGCGTGAGCCTTGCCTCTCTCGCTCAGGTATGCCACGAGGCGCCGATTTCTGGAATCACACAGCCACGAGCATCACTAATACCTCAGTAGTACTCCCCGGCCTCGCTGCCGTCTCCGTATCTCGGTGACAACGACGACTTGAACGCTCGATTCCTCACACCCTGTAGCGACGACATGATGTCCATCCATCCCGCTGCCGTCGAGAAGCGCCGACACCGAGACTCCAACGCCTTCTCACCCTTGATGGACAACAACTCGGACCTTTTCACAGACTCTGGGAGTCTCACAAACTCACCGGCATTTTCAGCCTTTGATGCTGCCTATGACCTGGGTAGCTACTGCACCACAGCCACCGATTTCCAAAGCCACGACCCGTCCGACCTCAGTGGTCCTCAGTCGGTGGTGGACTGCGGCCAGGAGTGGAACGAGCGCTTTCATGATCCGCAGCTTTTTTAATACCCTGTGAAAGCTGTGGATTCTCGAGGTGTGATGGTGTGTATACAAAATAAAATAAAATAATGGCGAATGGATGGATGAACCTTTTAACTTGCTGTATGACTTATGACGAAGTTTGGCTGAGATCAATGCTGCGGTGACGGATTCGCTTGAGTCGGTTGACTTGATTATGGAGTTGGGGATCTGGCAAATTGTATACTAATAGTATTATTCTCCACGAGAATGCAATACGACGACTATCGAATAAACACTTGCTAGCTGTGGCTGGAACTGGTGTTGCTCCTGATGTAGAAGTGCATTCAGGAGCTGTTTTCCTGTACATTGATACGGCCCCCTGACTTTGACGGCGCATCCGATAACTCTCCGCCGACCATAAAAGATGTGTTTGCACAACTCACTTTCAATTCACTTTCCATTGGCCTCCCCCCCTCTTCACGTCCTATAATAACCGCACTCTGTCACTCATCATGTGCATTCAAACTCCCTTCCCCCCCCTCACAATAAAACTGTGAAATAAGCGTTACTGCAAAACATCGCATAAAGCTGGCCTATACGCCTTTAAGCTGACCACTTCACAACCCGAGCCGTCTCCTCTACGCATTCACACACACGCCCGCCCCATCCGCGTTTCACCACAGCGTCAACACTCGAGAATCGGTTCGTAATCGACGATTCCAACGGGAGCTTCACGGCAGCTTTGCTAACTTTTTGCCAGCCATCATGCCTGAAACACCCAAGAAGAAGGAACCCACTGCCTCTGAGGCCATGTTTTTCTTTGCCATTGTTAAGCATACTCGCAACAAGGCCGACATTGACTGGAGCGCCGTGGCTGCGGAGCAGGGGTTCAAGAATGCGGATGTCGCCAAGGTATATTCTCCCTCATTTTCCTATCGTGCGGGCATGCTGATTGGGAAACAGGTCCGCTTCGGCCAGGTCAAGCGCAAGCTGGGCATAAGCACCAACACTGACACGCCTGCTACCTCTCGCACACCCATCAACAAGGTTGCTTCTGCTTCTGCAGTCGACAGCCCCACCAAGGTCAGGAAGAGCAGTGGTCGGGCAAAACCCAAGGGCAGGGCCAAGGGAAAAGGCATCAAGGTGGAGGAGGTGGAGGATGAGGAATTGGCGGACGATGAGACTGTGGTTGGGGTGAAGAATGAGCATCTGGACGGAGAATTGGATGCTGAAGTTGGGTCGTTTTTGGCTGAGGAGGAGTCTTTGATGGGCGAGGAGGAGCCTGCAGAGCTGTTTTAGATACTGCTGCGCATGTCGTGGCGGGTAAGAGGTGCTGATGTGCGTGAGGTTATACCCCGGGCTGGCTGGGTGTTTGATGAGACACTTGCACTGCGTGAATAGGGAATTGACGATTCTGCCTTTTGCTAGGATTTTGAGGACCCACGAGTGACATGTCTGCAATATTTCATATGATGTGTGGCCTTGCTCGTATACAGCGAGAGGCAAAAAGTATTTGACCAAATCAGGTACCTGGCTATCTTGCTCTATATTATACTAAATCGTAGCATATTGGTGTCTGGCATACTCCTCGGTGTGTAAATATATTCTGCCACAGACTGTAGGTGAGAGTGACGGCAAGACGGCCAGATGCGCTGGCAGGGCTGTTGGTTTGCCTACAATCCCGTCTGTGCATGGATACTGATAATGATTGCGGACTACTGAGACGGCTGTTTGCACTGTTTCTGCGTTTGCACCTGCCGCTGCGGCTGCATAAAACCAGCACTCCCTTCTCCTCAAGCCGCTGCCGTGCTCTCAACTAGCCATCAATTGATTGCTCACCTTCTTCTCACACTGGTCACTGGGCAAGGCAAGCCAAAAGTTCAGTATATAATTTAGCTCTCAATCTGACACTTGTATGCCCTTCTTAGACAATTCACAATCGCCAATTTTTGCACCGCACTCTCATCAACTGTCACAACCATCACAACCAGTCACCTTCTCATCAAACACCAACCACAGCTATCAGCAAGCCATCAACACAAACTTGACTCAGCAAGCGTGCGTTTTACATATAAACCTAACAAATACTCCCATCTAACAATTCACAGACAAAAAAAAAATGCCGCGCAAAACCACCAAGGCTGCTGCTGCCGGCGGAGAAGGAGAGGCGCCCACAGGCCTCACAGACGGCGAACTGCGCTTCATCAAAGCCGTCTTCGACAACATGACGCAGAAGCCCGACGCGGACTGGGACAAGGTCGCCACTGACCTGGGCCTCAAAGACTCAAAGTGTGCCAAGGAGCGTTTCCGCCAGATGTCTGTTCGTCACGGCTGGCGCGAGCAGCAGCCGGCCTCGGGCAACCCCAGCCCCCGCAAGCCTGGCAAGAATGGCGCCACGGGGCCGTCGGGCGATGGAAAGGTTACGAAGAGGGCTCCGAGGACCCCCAGGAAGGTGAAGAAGGAGGAGGCTTCCGACGCCGGGGAGGACGATGACGTTGATCTCATTAGGGGCGGCGATGATGGCGGCGAGGCCAAGGTTGAGGCTGAAGCAGACGTTGAGATTTGAGACATTGGGCTTGCTTGGAACTCGGCGACGGATTTGGTTTACGATGGGGGAGTTTCAGTCTGAGGGCTGATGGTGGAGTGGTATAATGAAGCTGAGCCAAGTTAATACGAGTTGATTCGGGGGCAGACACGAGGACATGGATTCTTTGCTGGCTTTAAACTTGAACCCGAGGCTATATTATTGCAGTTGATGCCCCGTTGCTAGTGTGGTTTGAAACGTGATGGCTGAGGCGTAGAGTTTGGATGTCCATGGCGGGAGACGCTGTTGGTGCTCTGACGAACAATGCAGTGGGAGGTAAAGGGTATTTAACCAGATCAGGTGCCTGGATATCACGCTTAATAATATGATATATTACAGTATCACGCTTAATGCTTTGATATAATACTATAATATACTATAGTATGCTCGTGTATACTTCATGGTAAGCAGATGTATTCTACCATAGATTGTATCACGATACTCCAGGTTCCAGACAATAAGGCATGGTAAGTCACCCAGACATGGTAAATCACGCAATGGAATAGACTCGTTTGCTCCCTGCTCCCTAGACCAATGTCGAATCCACGTGGGTGGTGTGGTGTTGTCCGCTCACTTTCCGCTCACTTTACCCGTTTCTCAGCCCACCTTACTATATCTTGCCTCATGGAAACGAAGCCCTGACACGACTCTCTTACAATTGAACTTCTGCCGTCCGTTTTAACACTCTTCCATCATTCACAGATTCCGCAGCGTCTCACTTCCTACACCACGTTTACTCGCCGCGTCTGCTCATCTTAGCAAGCCTCGTCAGCTCTCCGCAACTAAATACCTACCAAGTCCACTCAGCAACTGCAAAAATGCCCGGTGCCCAGGATCCCTCCGAGCAGGTCAAGTTCCTCGTCTCCTGCATCGGACACACCAACAACGGCCGTGTTAGTAGGCACGCTCTCTGTGTCCCTCTTTCCCCAGCTAACACATATTAGCCTGACTTTGCTGCCGTTGCCGAAGAGCTTGGAATCGTCTCCAAGGCTGCCGCGTACGTGTTCCTGTAAACTCCCTTTGTTTCCATTTTCAGAATCCCAGCTGACCATACCAACAGGCAAAAGCGGTACGAGCGCATGCTCAAAGCCAACGGTGTCAGCGGCACCAAGTCACCTACCAAGACTGTGGACGATGGAGCCGTGCCCACTCCCCAGTCTACGCCAGTCAAGCGCAAGGCTCCTGCTGCCCGTACTCCTGGCTCGGCCAAGAAGACTAGGGGCAAGGCGAACAATGGCGTGAAGAAGGAGCAGTCTGATGGGGAGAAGACCAAGCAGGGCGTCAAGAAGGAAGAGGACTCGGAGTCTGATCTAAGCGGTTGGTAGCTTGGCGGGCATGTAGTCGGGTGAGGATCGTGCTAACTGATGGCGTAGATCCTCCCTCTTCCGAGGATGGCGAAATGTAAGGTCCTGGGACTGATTTGTTTGGCACGGATGGACATGGGTGACGTTTGGTGACGGGCCGTGGGGACGAGGCTACAATGGAATAATGGGGATACGTCGAGCTGGCACGGTGATATTGCTCTAGACTGGGATTAAAATGAGAATCAAGGTCTCTTACATGCTGCTGCTTTTGAAGTGCACCCTAAGGTGGTGCTGGTTAGACAAGTATTACGGTGCTTGCTAGGAGCCAACTTAGACGGCCTACGGGATATTTAATATCAAAGATTGAACTCGGGCTGGACACAAATGGGACGCATGCGTGGATTTAGTTTTAATATGGACAAGAGGATCAGAAAATCCAAATGCGAGTGAGCCAGGACTGGCGCAAACGAACAGACAGACTCGACGGTTCTCACACGCAATGGGCGACAAAGTCGACGAAGTGATGTGCATATTCTGTGTGGCTGGGGACCCTGGTGACTTGATCAATTCATTTTATACACTAGAGAGAATTTGAATAAATTTAATTATTTCATAGTAGGCTTGACACTTGCCTGCCAGCCGCGGCACCTGTCAACTGCTGGTTCGCAGCCGTTAGCCAGGCAAAGGTTGCAGAGACCCTCGAACTCTGCCATAGCTCTCGCATTTCCTCCCTTCTCACAGCCCATCGAATTTCGTCTGATGCGTACGCCAGACGGAAAGGCACATGTTCTTAAAACACCTAAGATATTCTGTTGTCCTATTTCCTTTAAATTCACTTGGTTCTCGCTTACAGCCTGCTCACACGCACACACAAAATTGGGTATTCACTGCTCGTCCACACCACCAAGTTTGCATTTCTTGCCAACAGCACACCTGACAAAATTCTTTTTATTTCCTTTCCTTTTACTGTGTGACGGGCCTCATTCTCTCACCAGCAATTCACTTCTCGCCGCGAGTCGTCTCAACCTGCTCTGACCCCAACCAACGCTTTTGCTGACAAACGGGCCCTTCTTGGCATATTTTCCTTTTTTCCCATTATTCTTTGTCAAACTCAACATGGTTTCGGCACCTGCCAGAAAAACAAATGCAAGCAAAAGCCGGTCCCCGGCCAAGGACCGCAGATCGGCAAACAGAACACAGAGTGCCGAAGCATCGCTCGTGTCGTCGAGCGTTCCCAGCTCACCGACCAAGACTGAGACGCCGCGAACTGCCCGATATTCGCACCATCTCCCGACAGACCAGCAGCGAAAGGGAAATGGACGCGTTGCCGGCCGAAACCTGATTATGTGGAATCGTATGTTTCCGTCTCGTCAACGCCGTCCTCCTCCTCCATGGGCGCTTCTAACGGATGAGTAGGTCCACGAATGGCAGAGAAGCTGCTACTGCACATCCACTACGAGTGTAGTCGACACAAGCTCCAGCTGCCTTGGGATGCTATTGCTCATCGTTTCCATCCCGGGTCGTCGGGAGCTGCCATAATCCAGCACATCAATCGTCTTCGCCGCGAGGTCCTGGTTGAAGGCCATCTCGTCCCGCCTCTCACTCAGAGGTCTTCTGCGACGCCAGCTGATCCTAACCTTCGTGGATACGTCCGCCGAGACACCGAGGGCGACTACGTCGAGACTACCCGTCCTGTGTATTTTGACGAGAGACTTGACGACCCCAAGTTTAGTATCCCGGGTGATTTTCCCTTTAACGAAGAGTCGATGGAACCCGAGGTTGAGCTGGGCAGCTCTTCGGCTGGCTCAGAGGAGGGAGACTATCGCCAAGACTCCCCCACTCCAATGACACGGAATAGCTCAAAATCTTTAAACGGCTCCATGGATTTTTATGAGACCTTTACGCCGCAGTTTGTGGCCCCAGTTGAAGCTGTGAGAGACACACGAGGCCTGCCGCCCCATCTTCAGCATCCTCACGTCAGCCATGAGGCAGTGGTAAGGCCCGAGAACATTCGCCAGTGAAAAGGCACTCATGCTCACACATTGTTCAGGAAATGGAACCCACTCACAGCCGACACTTCTCGCATGGATCAGAGTCTGGTGCTAATCCAGCCAAAGGCACAGCTTCGCCCAACGAATCGTTCGAGACCAACATCGCAGCAATAACACCAGGGCACGTCGCCTTTCCCAGCATCCCTCAACACGCGCATCACGGCTACAGGATGGCTGCCTTGCAAAACTGGTCTCACCCACTCATGTACCAGATGAGCCTACCACCAAAAATGCATCCGTCCGCTTTTAGCTTTGATCACCAGGACTGCTTACATGCCTCTTTCCACATGGGGATGCCTTTCGCAATGACAAGTCCATACGAGCCCTACTTGGCACTGGACCCAGGCCTCATGAAACAAAGCGTTGCGCAACCGGTACCGATTACTGCTGGCGCAAAGGAGGGAGCAGTGCAAGCCGAGCCGGCTACAGCGCACGGTGCACGAATTGGAGATCCATTCGTTGGCCTGGCTGGTGCGGAAGAAACTAAGCTTACTGATATTACGACATCACTTACCCAAAACTAGCAAGAATCTGAGCTCTTGATGGCTCAGTCGCAATGTAATGTATTATGAACCATGAGTTCTCGGCATCATGTCGACGCTCGATACTCAGTGAGCGGTTGCAGCGCATCATTAATTTTTGGGTCAAAGGACGACCTTGGCGGTCATTGGGTAAAAGCCTGCACGACGACGTGACAAAATTGCTCCAGCACTTTTCCAGCATATGAACAAATCTGAGGCAACTGGTATCTGCCCATCTTCAAGTGTATTGAATTAGACGAGAGAATCTGAATGAGGAGCAACACAGCCACGTGAATTAGCTTGAGACGAGGTTGGGGATATAGAGAATTATTCAATTCAAAGTATAACTAGGCGCTCGATGCTCTGAAATCCTGCATCGGCGGCCGGGGTCGTGTTTCGATGTGAGCATTAAAGTCGTGACCATGTTGTCGTTTGAGGATGTGGAGTTGTGGACGAATCGACTGTCCGACATTTCGGCAACGGCGCCAGAACCTTCTCTGGGTCCGAATTGCAGACTGGGGGCGGTTCTGCCGAGTGCAACGGAACTGTGGTCTGCGGCTCACGAACCTGCCACTGCCGTCTTCCGTGGCAACAGGTTTTTCCGACCCTTGTCCGTGACAATTTTTTTGCGGGTGCCAACACCTCCAATTGCAACCAAGACCGCAATTCCACCTCTCTCTCCTTGGTTCCCCCAGATCTTTGACCAAAAAGCTGCTTCTCGCCAGCTACATCTTGCATCACTTGTCCCTCTCCTCCTTGTACTTTAATGCCCCCCCCTTTCTTGCCTTTTAATATATACAAGATGCAGCGTGCATTGAGCTCACGGGCGCGGGCTACGGCTCTGTCCTCTGCTGCCTCCCGTTATCGCGCCGGTGCCGGTCTTGGTCAGCAGCTCCGATTTGCTCACAAGGTGAGAAGGACGCGAGCTCCAATCGTCGAAGTATAATGTCAACGTGTCTAACTAGTGTTGTAGGAGCTCAAGTTCGGAGTCGAGGGCCGCGCCGCTCTCCTGGCCGGTGTTGACACCCTGGCCAAGGCTGTCGCTACTACTCTGGGACCCAAGGGCCGAAATGTCCTCATTGAGTCCAGCTTTGGCTCCCCCAAGATCACAAAGGGTGCGTTTATGCCTCTCTAAAGTCGTGTCATGGGACTTCAGCTAATACGAAAATACCTCCCTTTGCACAGATGGCGTCACCGTTGCCAAAGCCGTCTCCCTGAAGGACAAGTTTGAGAACCTCGGTGCCCGTCTACTCCAGGACGTGGCCTCCAAGACCAACGATGTTGCTGGTGACGGTACCACCACCGCCACCGTCCTCGCCCGAGCCATCTTCTCCGAGACGGTAAAGAACGTTGCTGCTGGCTGCAACCCCATGGATCTCCGCCGTGGTATCCAGGCTGCCGTTGACTCTGTTGTTGAGTACCTCCACAAGCACAAGCGCGACATTACTACCAGCGCCGAGATCGCTCAGGTCGCTACCATCTCTGCCAACGGCGACCAACACGTCGGCCAGATGATTGCCAATGCCATGGAGAAGGTTGGCAAGGAGGGCGTCATCACTGTCAAGGAGGGCAAGACCATGCAGGATGAGCTCGAGGTTACCGAGGGCATGCGCTTCGACCGAGGTTTCGTCTCGCCCTACTTCATCACCGACACCAAGGCTCAAAAGGTCGAGTTTGAGAACCCCCTGATCCTTCTCTCTGAGAAGAAGATTTCTGCTGTCCAGGACATCATCCCTGCCCTGGAAATCTCCACGCAGACCCGTCGCCCTCTTGTCATCATTGCCGAGGACATTGATGGTGAGGCCCTTGCCGTCTGCATCCTGAACAAGCTCCGTGGCCAGCTCCAGGTTGCCGCTGTCAAGGCTCCCGGCTTCGGCGACAACCGAAAGTCCATCCTTGGTGACATTGGTGTCCTGACCAAGGGTACCGTCTTCACCGATGAGCTCGACATCAAGCTCGAAAAGGCCACCATTGACATGCTCGGCTCCACCGGCTCCATCACCATCACCAAGGAGGACACCATCATCCTCAACGGCGAGGGTTCCAAGGACGCCATCTCTCAGCGCTGCGAGCAGATCCGTGGCGTCGCCGCCGACCCCACCACCTCCGAGTACGAGAAGGAGAAGCTCCAGGAGCGTCTTGCCAAGCTCTCTGGCGGTGTCGCAGTCATCAAGGTTGGTGGCTCCTCCGAGGTCGAGGTCGGCGAGAAGAAGGATCGATTTGTCGATGCTCTCAACGCCACCCGCGCTGCCGTTGAGGAGGGTATCCTGCCCGGCGGTGGCACTGCCCTGATCAAGGCCTCTGCCCAGGCTCTGGGAGACGTCAAGGCCGCCAACTTTGACCAGCAGCTCGGCGTGAACATTGTCAAGAACGCCATCACTCGCCCTGCACGCACCATTATCGAGAATGCTGGCATGGAGGGTTCCGTTGTCATTGGCAAGCTCACTGACGAGCACGCTGCCGACTTCAACCGGGGCTTTGACAGCGCCAAGGGCGAGTACGTTGACATGATTGAAGCCGGTATCCTCGACCCCCTCAAGGTTGTCCGCACTGGTCTCATTGACGCCAGCGGTGTTGCTTCCCTGCTGGGTACCACCGAGGTTGCCATTGTTGAGGCCCCTGAGGAGAAGGGTCCTGCCGGTCCCCCCATGGGAGGCATGGGCGGCATGGGAGGTATGGGAATGATGTAAGATGGACGAATTCAAGAGGATGAAATTGCCATTTCTGGCGTTGTACAAAAGAAAAGCAAATTGGGCATGGATTTGGTGTTGGTAGAAGAACAAAAGACAGATGGATCAAGTGATCTGGCACGATCTCCTCTCTACATCTCGGCATGTATTTTATTTTTCATACCCCTGCAGATTTTTCACCAGCCCGGACTCTATGTATAATAGCAAGCAGCACTTGGCCATGTAAAACAGTTTAAAAAAAATCCAACAACTAAGAGACGAATTATGCACGCATCTGTGATTTTGATGCTGTAAATTCGAACAATTTGGTTGCCTTGAGGCAGCGAGTTTGCAATTGCGCTTGGTGCTGAGTGAGAAGGCAAGATTTGGAAGCCTGACGGGATTCGTCATCTGATGGCAATCATTTCGGTGCCTAACTACCTAGGTACCTTACTTTTTTGTATGTCCTCCGGGTAGGCCGAGGGCTCGTTTTCGTTGCCACGGCAGAACAGAGTCATGCTGTTAGTTCATGCACCGCGGCTGCTAGAGCTGCCAGAGTAACGAATGGTCAACGGTCAAGGCGTGGCTGTCATTCAAGGGTCTGTTCTAGGCCATAATTGGTCCGGCGGATAAAGTCAACAAAGACGAACAAGTCCGCAATTGGAAGCGTCTGGTTACACATGCAACTACTCACCCTCTGGCGCCATGGATGCTTGCTGCGGAGAGCTGGGAAGCTGGAGCTTGGCCCAGTCACGTGGGGGCACCGGCCATCTCACGGCCAACCCCACGGCCAACCCCACCATGATGATGTGGTCAACACAACTGAACGCCTTGGTCTTCTGGTCCACATCCCGTGCTTTTCCAACAAACAAAGCCGCCCTCCTCGCCTTTGCATCGCGACACCGCACATTTGCCTGGTCGCTTTTCTTCTGATGTAAGCCCAAGCTGTCCCCCGCGGCTTAAATACTTGAGCAGTTGCCTGCAGTCGCCCGCAGTCTTCCTTTTTTTTTTCTGTTTGTTTTGCTGTTGGTTAAGCCGCCAAAAGCTGACGAGCTCTTTCACTCAGCCTTCCTCCCCCGCCCCTCATTCGCGCACCATCTCCTGATCTTGACCGCAATCATGGTGAGTTTCCGCCACGACGGCCCTGCGCGACTGTAGTTGGTTGCTTACTGTCTCTTTCCAGTCTCAATCCGGGTTCGTAACTGTCCTCGATACATTCTCCAGAATTTCGAGTTTGCCGTTGCTGCAATCTGCGCACCCGCCCCCCCATGACGACGACGGTGTACCCCGCCGACCTTGGAGGGGTTTGCGCACCAAGGAAGAGCCACGATTGACAATGGGGACAGCTGCTAACAACTCTTGCGCCCATGTAGAGCGACCGTTTCGCAGGAATGCATAACTGCCTACAATGACTTGAAGCTGTCCAAGAAGTACAAGTACATCATCTTCAAGCTCTCGGACGACTTCAAGGAAATTGTCATTGAGGAGGCTTCCAACGACAAGGACTGGGAGAACTTCCGAGAGAAGCTCATCAATTCTACCACCAAGAACAAGTCTGTGAGTAGTGATCCGAGTTGCCTCTCATTCGCAATCAACTGTTGCGCTAACTTTTGCCAGGGTACCGTTGGAAAGGGCTGCCGATACGCCGTCTACGATTTTGAGTACAGCCTGGCCGCCGGCGATGGTGTCCGGTATGCCTTCCTCCTACGGCTCTACAACCGTGGGAACCACGCTGACTGACTGCAGAAACAAAATCACCTTTATTGCCTGGTCCCCCGATGATGCCGGCGTTCAGGTAAGATGCCACAATCCCCGACCCCACCTCTGAGCCACCAGCCTGACGACAATGACCACGCAGCCCAAGATGATCTACGCTTCCTCCAAGGAGGCCCTCAAGCGATCCCTCACTGGAATTGCCACTGAGCTGCAGGCCAATGACGCCGATGACATCGAGTACGACACCATCGTCAAGACTGTCAGCAAGGGTCTTGCCGGTTAAGCATGGTTCTTTTGTTGTGTATTCTTTTGCTTTGTATTTTTCTTTGTATGTTGCGACATGACAACAACCGCGCAGGAAGGAAAAAAAGTCTCTGGGCACGCCGCCTTTTTACGAGCGCATGAATTGAGAATCATTGCTACCCAAATGGCTTATCTTTAACCAACCCCATTTCACCCCTCCTTCTGATCTACTTGAAAAGGAGAAAAAAAAAGCCAACTCGAGTTGTGACGCAAAAAAAGAGACGACGGCGATGGTGGAGGATTTTAAACATGATGGATGCAAATTATACAATGGTGACCCATGCATTGGGATTCTTCATGTCGGTGGAGGGTCGTAGCTGCTAGATGTGTGAGTCTTGGTGTCAACGCCATAGGAAGACAGAAATGACTTCACGCCGGATGTGGATCATAGGTGACTTGTTTGCCCCAACGTCGCTGCAACCCAGCTCCTTGGTGTGCGTGTATCGTTGCATGCTCATCATTTTGACACGGTTTTACATCGACATTTAGTACCCCCCCGTCTTAGCCATCATACAGTCATGCAGTAGAATCGAGTCAAGGTCCGGAACGACTAGACTCCCAGCTCCGCTTAAACAAAGTCCCCAACTCGGCGGCTGCGGCCTCGTCCTTGAGCCGCTGCTGCAGAAACCCCTTCAGGTCGTCCCAGAAGGCATCCGTCGTCAGCGCGTCCCACCCGCTGGCCTTGGCCACCACGTCCTCCTTGCTCTCGGGCTGCACGGCCGCCGCGCCGCCCATGACCATGACGGAAAACTCTACCCGCGGATCCGAGTCGCCCGCCACGTCCTTGAGGACCTTGCTGTCCGTCAGCGGCCGCTTGTTGTGCAGAATCTTCATCTTGTCGACTGGTATCCCCGTCTGCTGTGCGACTTTGGTCTTGATGTCGAGGATGGATGTGTTGAGCGGCTGCGAGGTGAGTTTCAGGTCCAGCGGCGGGTTACGCAGGGACTTGAGGGTTACGGTGAGGCTGCGCTCTTGGCCGGGGAGCAGGGTCTTGGGCTTGCTCATGGGGTTGGGCATCCGGGGGAGGATGTACTGCTGTTGTTAGCTAGGAATGTGGGATGAGGGGGGAGGGTGAACGTACGGGCGGACGGGGGGGAAAGGATTTGGCATCTTCGACGTGGTCTGCGGAGAGCTTGATTGGGCGGGAGTCGAGTGTCGAGAGGAACGTTTTGGCGAATGCTGCTTCCGCCATGGTGATGCTGGCGGCGGGACGACGGGGAGAGGGTTAAAGGGTCAGCGTGGAGAGGTGGTGGAGAGCGGGATGCTGTCGACGGGAATGGCGAGTTTCCGTGACTTGTTGCAGATTCGGATACGTTGAACGAACTGGGCGACAGATATTCTGTAGAGTCGTATAAATGGTGATGCTTCACGAGCTGAGTGTTGCGTAGTGAGGTGGGAGCTTGGGAGTGGGTTAGGTAAGCAGTGGGGCTTACGAAGACGGCGTCAACAACAAACCAGCGACGACATACATTGGTAAGAGTTGCATATTTTTTCTTTATTGTGCAAGCATGGAACTATTTCCTCATATTTAGTTGCAACAAACTACTCCGTACTGATTATTTAAATTGTATGAGAATTTGCGGACCTCTGGGTCTGCAACTCCAACTTTACGAGAAAGTCAAGCGGCTGTGGCTGGTGCCCGATACGAAGTTTTACCGGCCATTGACCATCTTATCGGACTTTTTGAAGAAAAAAAAGTTGGGCGGGGCGCGCATATTCCAGACTGAGCTGTCGCCGTTCCTTTTCACGGCCAATTCCTTTTCCAACACTTTTCAACAATAAAAAGGAGAAATCGCACAAAATGGGTGCCGGAAGACGGATGAAGAGAAAGCAGGGTGCCCCTGAGCCTTTATCAGAAGAACACTACGCAAAACTGAAGCGCAAGGCCGGTGTGCCAGTCGACACTCCTACAGAAGCACCTGACAACAAGAGAAGACGAACCGGGAAGAATGGGCAGTCCAGAGAAAATGGAGCCTCGATAAAGAAGGCTGCCGCCCCGAAGAAATCCAACGGCGACAAGCCAGCAAAGCCAAAGCCCAGCAGCAAGTCAAAAGCCAAGCCTGCCATGCCAGGCCTGGACGACAGCGACGTTGAGCTCGAGGACGACGAGTTGGACGCAGAGGAGCTGGATATCGAGAAACTATCCGACCTCGAAGATGAAGGCGAGGGCGCGGCGCTGGGCGACGATTTTTTGGGCTCGGATTCATCCGTGCTTGACTCGGACGACGAGATTGACGCCGAAAAGGCTACGTTTTCTGAAGATGAAGACGAGTCCGACGCAGAGGAGAAGCTCACGGCCGCCAATATCGAAGGACTCTCGAGGAAACTGGACCGAAAGCTGGCGCAGGAAGCGGCCACCAATGCGGCAGAAATGGCTGAGAGCGCACTGCAAACCAACATTGACGGCGACAAACCGCACATTATTGACGACGACGACGACGACGAGCTGTCCGCCAAGGCAAACGCCCTCCTCGCGCCGGACCTGCAGCTGCTCCGGACGAGAATCACCGAAAATATCCGCGTGCTCGACGATTTTGCCAACCTCGCCGAGGATGGGCGCTCCCGGTCCGAGTACACTGCGCAGTTAATCAAGGATGTGTGCGCATACTATGGCTACTCCGAGTATCTGGCTGAAAAGCTATACAATCTGTTCACACCCCGCGAGGCATTTGCCTTTTTCGAAGCCAACGAGACGGCTCGCCCTGTTGTCATCCGCACAAACACCCTCCGCACTCACCGCCGCGATCTCGCGCAGGCCCTCATCAACCGCGGCGTGACCCTCGAGCCGGTGGGCAAGTGGTCCAAGGTTGGCCTGCAAGTCTTTGAGAGCAGCGTGCCCCTCGGTGCCACGCCCGAGTATCTCGCCGGCCACTACATTCTGCAGGCTGCCTCGTCCTTCCTGCCCTGCATGGCGCTTGACCCCCAGGAAAACGAGCGCGTGCTCGACATGGCTGCCGCCCCCGGTGGCAAAACAACCTACATGGCGGCCATGATGAAGAACACGGGCGTCATCATCGCCAACGATCCCAACAAGGCCCGTGCAAAGGGTCTCATTGGCAACATCCACCGCCTCGGCGCCCGCAACGTCATTGTATCCAACTACGACGCCCGCGAATTCCCCAAGCCCATGGGCGGGTTTGACCGTGTCCTGCTCGACGCCCCCTGTTCCGGGACAGGCGTCATCGCCAAGGACCCCAGCGTCAAGACCAACAAGACGGAGCTCGACTTCATGCAGCTCCCGCACACGCAGAAGCAGCTGCTCCTCGCGGCCATTGACTCGGTCAACCACTCCAGCAAGTCGGGCGGGTACATTGTCTACTCGACGTGCTCGGTGACTATTGAAGAAAACGAACAGGTCGTCCAGTACGCGCTCAAGCGCAGGCCCAATGTCAAGCTCGTCGACACGGGGCTGGCCTTTGGGAAAGAAGGATTCACAAGCTTCATGGGCAAGAGGTTCGACCCCAGCCTCCGCCTCACAAGGAGGTACTACCCGCACGCGTACAACGTCGACGGCTTCTACGTCGCCAAGTTTAAAAAGATTGGTCCCACGCCCGCCCAGGCGCCCCGGGATAACACGCGCGCCGCTCGCGACGCCGAGGACGTTGTTGACAAGACGCCCATTTCCGCCGACGAGGAAGACGCTGGCAAGGACGATTTCGGCGGCTGGGACGAGGACGAGGACAACGAGTACATGGAGAAGGGGCGGAGGAACGCCATGCGCAGACGGGGCTTGGATCCCAGGAGTAATGTCAAGTCGAAGAAGGGGTCGAAATGACGAGCTTTTGCAGTTTCTAGAGTTTAATGTATGGCATAGGAGTCAAAAATGGCATTTCTTGTTCACGTGTGAATTGATGTATATTTTCGCCTGTCCGATTTGTCGCCCGCGTCTTCATTCAGCGTATCGTCTATTTTGGTTTTTAACCTACCCTTTATTCGTGCCGGCACTGCATTCAAGAGGGGATAATTGTACAACACCGTGCACATGGTCGTAGCCAACCCAGATAATCGTGACATGCCAAAGGAAATACCGCACAAACGCTATCGCATGCGTGGGAAAGCGTACCGTTTATCCTCTTGGACATTCCTGTAAACAAGTGATTTATAAGTGGAATGTACAATCTACCAGGTACATACGACCACAGCCGCCAGCAAAAATCACGATCTCGTTAAGCTCTTCTCCGGGGTTTTAATGCTTTTATATATGAAGGAGTGTGCCTCTAAAAATAAAGGCTATAGCGTTTATTTTTAAAGGACTAGAAACTAAGAGTTAGTGTAGGAGAATTACGGTTAGTTATTATATTTTACGTTATTATAATAGAAAACGAATAGTATTAATATTAGTATAAGATATATTCTTTAATATATTATAGTTACTCTCTTTCTATTACTCTTATTAAAGCTAGTCGTAGAATCTTTAATTATATTTAGCTTATTAAGAATTTTAGTTCTTATAGTTTCTTCTTTTAAAGGTACTTAAGTAAAAAAATAATTAATTATCTTTATATTTCTCTTATTATAATAGCTTATTATCCTTTTTAAATAAGTAATATATTATTTATATACGTTAAGGTTTACCTTATATATAACGTTAATATAAAGGTTTAAAAGTAGTAGAATAATTATAATAATAATATAAGATATTTATTACGCTAAGAAGCTTATTAGATATAGTATATAAGACTATTAATTCTACTAGCTAAATTACGCTTATTACTTAGTTTTATTATTATATTTATAATTATACCCTATATTTCGCTATAATATAGTCTTTATACTAATATTATATTTATTACTACACGATAATAGTAGTAATAGCGCTTTTAATAGTGTAAATGGTTTAAACTATTAGTTTAAACTATTCTATTACCTAAGATCAGAGCATTGACAAGAAAACTACATTTTCAATTTTCAAAAAAGCTTAAATAATTAATAATAAATCTAATAAAATACTTGAATTATAATAATAAATACATAAATTAGCTAATATTATAACCAATTAGCTCACATAAAAAAGTGGGTCCCTCTAGCTTATTATAAGCTTAAAAACTAGATTATGTAATTTTCTAAAAACACACTACACTACACTACACTACAAAAACTACATTTTGTAGTTTTTGAAGTTCTAGGCTTATAAGAGCTTATAAGGACCCACTTTTTTATGTTAGCTTATAGTATGAAATTCATACTATTTATCCGTAAAACTTATAATCTTATAAGTATTTTATTAGATTTAATATTATTTATTATATT